GTTCAGGGTATCTCCTAGTCGAGCAGTCTCGATTAGAGTCTTCTTACTTGTTTAATATTAAATATATGATAATTAAATCTCGAATTTTACTTTTTTAAATAATTAAAATTGATTCAATTAACATGTATTTTTCTTCAATAAATATGCTTTCTTCATTTGTATGTTACCTCTAAGCCTGGAATCCATCTACTTTCCGTGTTCTCTATTATTTAGTTGTATAAAACAATGAAAACTATTTTCTATTTTATTTCGTAATTGATTTTGATTAAATACAATGCATATTCTTCAAATAATTGAACCATATTTTTAATTTTGCTTAATAATAATCCCGTTTCTAATGCAACTTTATAATTTTTGTACTTAAAAATTTTTATTTCCTAGCATAATAAAATGGCATTTAATTTGAAAAGAAAACCAGTATCTGAGCGTAGTTAAATGCTTTTTGTAAGTGCTACACGTAAAATGAATTCTACTACGAAGAAGTTGAAGTTGAGTGTGAAATCATCCTGGCAGGCGGTCAGACCACCAAAACAGACAGACATGGAGACAACCGCATGAGCAAGCAGCTCAAATTTATAAACTTGCCCATAAAACTTGAACATGGGCAACTCGGAAAAGGCAACTGGTGCCACATGCAGGAGAGGAGCTGCAGCGGCAGCCACAACAGCAATAACAGCGGCTGAAGCACTGCATAAGAGTGCATAAAAAATAAGAAAACACACACACTAGATGAAGTTTCCTTCAAGCCGCAGCAAAAGCCAAGGCAACCGCAAGGAGCAAAGTTTTAATTTTTGGCCCAGGCAAATGTTGCGGGCGAGCAATGTGCCAAGGGGGCTTGCTCCTGCGCCTCCTCCCTTCCCTTGGCCCTCATTCGCCTCTTCCTCCCCTCTAGGAGCTAGCTGGAGCTGGTGTGTTTGCTCGCCCAGTGTGTGACAAACTATCTTAATGGCTTTTCGCAGCTTGGCGGCTCTTAAATGCGAATTTAATTAATTGGACACTTAAGTTAACGACATTTCTTTGCTCGCTCTCGTTTGACTGACTCCGACTGCACACGGCGACGATTTTGATTAATTGGCCAACAGCGTACGCCGACTCCACAGGCAGCCAGGCAGGCGGCAGGGAGAAGAGCAGAGGCCAGCGACTGCGACGTAAACTGAGCCATTGCCAAGGTGTTGGATGCTGCACGCACTTAATTGATGGCCCTCGCAGAGCCGAGACTACCATCTTGCCACATTGTCATTGCCGTTCAAAATGGCGTTGAAATCGAATGAAAGTATGTTTTTTTTTCTCAAGCTGCTCTGTAAAGCAATGTATATGTTGCTTATAGCTATTTTAATATATATGATATATTTAATATTCATATAAATATGTCTTGTAAAACAATCAGCTTTCATATTTGAATTTTGAAAACATTTGGTCATCTAAATTTTTTTTTTTCTGAGTGTGAAAAGTGAACTTTTCCTAATCTCTTCAAAGGAATTGTAAATATATTTTGCATATTTAAATAAATTGACAAAACGGCTCTTTTATCTCCTATAAAAAAAAAAAAAAACAACAATATATATATAAAAAAAAAGAGTTTATATGAATAATTAATTTTTGTTTGTTTCTTGTTTGCATATAATTTAGTTTCAACATTTTGTTGTAATGATACACGTTATATTTTAAAATTATAATGAAATACATACATTATATTAATGTATCGTAAGTTCTAGTATTGAAAATTTAAGTTCTACAAGATTTTTTTTTAAGTACAGAAAATACTGTAAAATAATAATAATAATAATAAGGTAAAAATAATAATAATACATTTTTATATTATAATTTTTACAAGTTTCAGGGAAGTATTTACTGTATTACTTTACTGGTTTGGTAATGCAAAATATATATATAATATAACAAGCAGAGACATCTATTTATTGTAATTCATAAAATTCGAATTAGTTAGTAATTATTTGCTTACTTTATCTATTCTTTTAATCTGGTTTGGACTAATTTTTCTTCAATCTTTTAAACTTTAAAGATGTTAAAGAAATAACTATGGGGACTCTTGGGGAGGCGGTCTAACCAAAGTCTAAACAAAGGACTAGAATACAAGCACAAGGAACTGGAAGTCCTATTCTCTGAGCTGAGTTGGTCGCTGCTGGGCGACGCACATTCATTAATTTAGTGCAGAGAAACATTTTTTGAATTGTTTTGTAGTTTAATGCGAACTCGGTTAAATTTATGTACTCAGCCAGCTGAATTTTCTTAGTCTCAAGTTTGGCCTTGTGGGAGACCCAAAAGTGCAGTCCAGCGCAGGCAGAGTTTCAGCCAAGCTTCCAAAGTTCAGCATTTGCCAGCTCTCTTTGAATTTATTTTGCGGCAAGACAATTTATTTGCTGGCGTTCAAATGTGAGCGCTTATCAAATAATTGCCGGCCTGCAAATGTTGCACAATTAAGCGGTAAAAGGTTAGGGCCAGCGTCCGCCGGGGTTTGACCGCACAGCCGGCCACTGGCCACTGGCAACTGCCCCTTGTCCCAATGCACACCCACACACACACACAGACAGACACAGACACACTCCCACTCACTCCCACACACACACTGAACATGATTTCTTTTTTTTTTTTTTTTTTTTTTTTTTTGGGGAAAATTTTTTTTTTTTTTTTTCCTTTTTTTTTTTTTTTTTTTTTTTTTTTTTTGAGTGCAAATGTTTTTTTATATTTTCCTCCTTTTTTTTGCATGTGTTTTCTTGTGAGCGCTTGTTGCGCTCTCACCTCGCAAATGTTTTTTAATATGCTCCATTTCAGGCTTATCTTTATTGTCTCGTTTAGTGGACAACATATGAATGATGCTCCATTTACACACGTTTCTTCTTTCGCTTTTGGCTTAGAGCAGAAAGAAAAAAAGGAGGCAAAATATTTAAATGTTTCCAGTCTTTAGCTTACCGATTTTTTGTTGTGAAACTCTTTATTAAATTATAAATATATATGAGTAAAGATATATTCCATTCATTCTTATGTTAATTAGCAAAGTTGGCCTAAAGATTTTTATTAAACAATTATTTTTCTGTTATACAATAAACTTGATTCATCTAGAGTCTGATATAACAAATACTTTAGTTTTAAGTTGCCAGAAGTAAAAGTATCCATCAATTTTGTATTTGAGAATTATATTTAATTAATTTATTTTTTGTAAATGAGTAATTTACATGAAACTTCTGTTTATTTATTTGATTTTTGGGTTGTTTTTTAATTTAATTTAATTTTTTTTTAGCAATGGACTTTTATCTCTGTCTTTAAATATACAAATATACAATTTATATACAAATTTATTTAATATTGCATACTAAATCAATCAACTGAATTTTCTTTCTATTTACAAAGAATTAGTTGTAGTAGTATTTGTATATATGCATGCTTTCAACTCGATCATCTAATTTTCAGCTGTTTGCTTAGGTTGCTGCGGAAATGCGTACAAATTAGTGCAGAAGTTGTCTAGTTGATAAGAGCATGATGTATGGTGTGTCCACATGGGGTTTGAACCCTCGCCACGGGGCCAAAAGCCAGCCACTCGGTCCCCGGACCAGCTGCAATCGATCATTTCGAGCGCGTGTGCAGTCTGTGGAACCTGATGCCACACGGCCAGGTTTGCGATGGAGGAGACGCTGCGTATACCAGTTTGTCACAGAAAGCTGCAGGTTCGTGTAGAGGCGATCAAAATGCCGGGAAGACCGGCCAAGTGGAAGGCCGGGCATCCAGCCGGTCAGCCAGTCAGCCAGTCAGCCAGTCAGCCAGGCAGGCAGTGCGGCCATCTTGTGGTCCAGTGTTTGGGGCCTCGAGGTGTGTCACATCTCTTTTGTGTCGCACATTTGTCAGAAATTAATCATGCGCTTGTTTTTGCATGCGTGTGTGTATGCGAGTGTGCGAGGAGCAACAACATTCTTAGCTTTTTGATAAATTAGCCGTCGACCCGTAGGAAGGTGCGAGCTGCTGTCTGGCTAACTCTTAGTCCGGCCAAAGTCGTTGACTGTAAAATGCAATTAAATGCGACCAAAACACACGACTTTGGTGGCGCAATTAATTTTCATTAAAAAGCAAGCCAAGAGCTCTGGCAACACATTCGCATGGCCAGCAAAAATCCAAGCGATCGCCGGCCGATATGGACGATCGGAACATGAGTTACTCATGTGCATTTAGCCGAGTGCTAAGTGAGGGCCGGGCCATGGGCCAGGGCCAAGCGTTGCATCGATTGACGCTAATTGATATGCTTATCGGCAATCGATAAGATTACGATTGCGATTGCTCAGCCGCGCGGCGCAGTTCAATCCACTTTCAATTTGACAGCCCCGACAGACAGGTGACAACCCATAACTCACGATCGTTCGGCACCGCATACGCATTCTATATGTATATCTGTATGAATTTGTCTCCAGCAGTCCTTAGTATGTCCGCTTCTTTGGTTATGCATGACCGTATGCGATATGCCAGACACGAATCGTTGCAGGAGCACCGTGAATTATGCCAAGTCAGCCAGCCAGCCAGTGTGTAGGCTTAGCTTTATGTCTTGCTCCGCGGAATTCTTCAAAATCTGCATGCGCAAGAATCCGCGTCATCTCTCTGGGGTCTTGGCGAATTCCCTTTTTCATGCTAATAACATAATTGATGATATTGTCTTTTAATTCGTTGCACTCAACGTGCCTCGCATGCTAACTCAATTCGGTGGCACATTCATGTGTGCAACGATGGGATTCTTTGCTTGACTTGACGCTAACTAGCAAAAAGTGTGGAGTAAGCCTGAAGAAGGAAAATAAAACTCAAAACATTTCCAAAAAAAAAACACTGTCAAGCATCGTATCGGTTTTAGATCGAAACAAATCCCATTTCTCTCTCTCTAATCTTTCATTCGCCACGCTGTGGAAATCAACAACAAAAGCGACAAGTAAAAAGTCAGTTAAGGGGATTTCGAGAAAGGATTCCACCTTTGGAGCAAAACAAATTAGAGATTTCAAATGTAATTTACGACCAAAATGGTTGATCTATGATGGGTATTAAAGGTTTCCATGGCGTCGCTGCTGCTCTTCTTCTTCTTCTTCTTCTTCTTCGTCATCTCCTCTTCTTCTGCTTGTTCTTGCCGCCTCTCGCCTGTTGACCTAATGGGGGTGGAAATACACACACGCACACACACACACA